TTATGTTGTGCAAATTGGTGTATGAAAGTCGTTTTAATTCTAGAAATAAGCGTCCTTACAACACTTTTTTTTCTTTAATTGGACACTCAGTGTTTCGCTTTACAGCTTCTTTAGCAACATTCCACTAAAACACAAACTTGAAAAGGTTTTTCGTTGTACAAAACTTGAAGATAGGTTTGGTATACGGAAACATCTGTCAGCAGAGTTCTTGCATAGATCTTAAAATATAACGTTGATAAACGGAAAGATCGGCACATGTAGATCTTGAAAGTCGAGTTGTTCAAAACTTAAAAATAGCGTTGATAACTGGACCAATTGTTGGTTGAGATGCTGCAAAAGAAATATCTGATGAAGCTTTTCGCCAGACACTAATCATAGCAGAACCGTCTGGAAAATGATCTATCCAATCCAATCGAGCATGATAGGAATTTAGGTTAAAACTAAAAGTAGGAAAATGAAATATAACCAGGGCTGGTCAGAAACTTCTGCTTCTCTTCACCCAACTACATAATTAGAATTGAGTGGCCGAGGCTTTTAAGAATTAAATGCTTACATGAGTGGAATTTAACAGTTAATTTTCATAATGACGAATTCACAAGCAGTGGGAAGAGCTGAGAGGAGACGCCGAAATAAAGAGAAAGAAGGAGACCTTCGCCGAGTTGAATGTTGTCTTCGGAAGTTTTCTTTCGTCGGGACCCGTGCGTCGGATGACCACGTGGCTAAAGGAATTCGTGACGTCAGGTGTTAGAGAGCTGAGCGGTGTAGAGCAGAGCAGGGAGATGCAGATCGAGTACATCCGTTGTTGTCTAAAATTTTGAAAGTAAAATGATTTAAGAATACTTAGCTAGAATTTAAAGAATAGATTTTTTTTTTTTGGCGGCAAAGGACAGGTTTATGTGCTTTAATAAAGGTGGCTTCCAAAATAGAGAGATGAAAGGTCGACCGACCATTTGCAATAATTTCAAACATACTATCTGTGTAGTTGTCAGCACAAGTCGGTTCACTAGTAAATGCTGACCAATCGCTGATTCACATTTTGGTGGTAGAACTTTTGTTTTACAGGAGCGACATGGTAAATTCTTTACTTTCACACTCTCAGTTATTATGGATGTGGGTGCATGCTGTTTAATTCTATCCTGCAATCTTTGTGAAGTGCGACCTACGTACCGACATTCGCAGTGGCACGAGAATTCATAAATAACCATATTTTTTGTGTGTTGCAGGCAACACTTACGTGTGGAATAAGCACAGTAGGGGTTCACTGCAGGAAAACATTTAGTAATGGCCGTTTTCAATTGTTACTCAAATTTTGTTGATATGTTACCAATCCATGGTAGTTTTAGGTAAACAGGGCACTTGTTAGGACCAAAATTTGGTTCAGTTGAGAATCTCGATATTTTTTTTAAAATAATTTGATTGATGACGTTTTCTGGATCCCCATTTTCTAGTAAAACAGTTTTAATTGTCTTCAATTCAAAATCTAGTTTAGATTTTGAACAGATAACTAGAGTCCGATGGACTAAAGTAGCAATAAGGTTCGTTTTGGGACTGAAAGAATCCCATCGTGTGTATTGTCCTATGAAGGTAGGTTTTCTGTATATACTGGTGAGAAAACAAAAGTCATTGTTTTCAACTAAGACGTCTAGGAACGGTAAAGAGTTATGTTGTTCCTTTTCGATAGTAAATTTGAGAGCCGAGTGCAACGAGTTGAAGTCTTGTAAGAAACACTCACATTCCTGTTCAGTTTTAAAAATGACAAATGTGTCGTCTACATAGCGGAAGTAAACAGCAGGTCTGGTAACTTTGTAAAATAGTTCTTTTTCATGAAAACCAACGAAAATATTGGCTAAGGCAGGTCCAAGAGGAGAACCCATAGCGACTCCGTCAATCTATTGATACATGATATCATTAAAGCTGAATTCCACCGAACGTGACGCATGTCAATTCAGTAAACAGGTTCTTAGGTGTTGGAGGGCACTACATTTCTCTACCATAAAAAAATGTTGATTTTCGTACTGTTAGTTACGTTTTGTTTTTAGTGGAACGCCCCTGAAGAAGCTGTAAAGCAAAATATTGAGTGTCTAGTTAAAGAAAAATAACAAATTTGGTTTTATAAGGTCATTTATTTCTAGTATTAAAATCATATAAAAGATGTGTGAAGTACTTTTCTAGCTTAGGCATCCATATCATATAAATGATACATTATTTTATGTTTTTGCTTTTCTAACATCATGTAAACATTTTGTACTTTATTGTTTTAGCATAGACATGTTATATAAATAATACTTGAATTCAGTAAGAGAACTGATATATTCATTGACTATACACGTAGAAATATTATAATTTCTTAACACTGTTGTTGAAAAGGTCTTTCATAGCATGCTAGCCTTTGTTATTCTTATTCAACGTTTCTTCTATTGTACACGAATGTGATGAGTAGTTCTGACATCACACAATACAGGTACCTATGGGTGAGGAAACAGACAGAAATCGGTTATTTATCACAGAATGTATATGTACAATGTATGTTACTATCATATACTGTATAGTTTGATTTGTATCAGGGGTATTTTATTTAGAAGCTCCGGTTTTGTTTCACTTATTCACTTGATTTCAGCCTTAAGGTATTGTTACAACAGCGGAATTCACGTGACGCTGGTAACACGTAATGAGTACCTAGAACGTTCGTGAAGGCTCGAGTGTTTGCTAGACGCCCTCTATTTTGTATATATATGACCGGCAAGAAGTGACGAGAGAGAATAATTGCAGACAGGAAGATATAGAGGCAGATAATCGAGTCAAGCCGTAAGTAAAGTGCGTGAATCGTTGTGAATTCTAGCGTGTGTTTAAGTTAAAGTGACTGTGGAAATTAAGCATATTGCATAGTTGTCTTGAGAAAGAATAAACTAGTTTTATTTAAGAAAGGACTTGTATCACTGAAGTTTTTAGGAAGGAATTTTTACGGGAAATTAACAAACGACCAGAGACGTAACAGTATGTTACAAGTGAAAGCTTGGAAATTCTTTTTCTTTTTTTTAAGGGAATTTATTGTTTAATCAAATGTCAAATGTATTTGGTAAATTTTCTCACGTATATACATACCTGGTCAATTAAAACATACGTAAATGCTACTTAGATAGGATGTAATCTCTACAATTTACATCATAAGAAGCTTTTAAGAGAAAGATTTGTATTGAGTATCAAGCCCGTTACCAGGGGGGTGCGACCCCCCTCCAACACACATTCCCACCGGAGTTCCGCTCACCTATGAACATTTATTTTTTCCTTTCTTTGATAATGTCTTATAATTATACAATTGCTTTTGTAACACTGTACGTACACGTAAACATACCATTTTCATACGTATCAAAATAAAGTTACTAGAAATGTCTATTTGCAGTGATAATAAAGAGAGCATTACATATTTTGGAATTTTTTTTAGGCCCTGAGCATCAAAGTTACACATGAAAGTAGCTCAAATTTGGACCAAACAGAACCCCACACTTGCAGACCTGGCCACGGGCTTGGGTATTCCAGTGTGTTGATTATATTTACATAAATGAAAATATAACATTTTACATTATTTGTTTTACTAATATTGAATTTTTATTTACGGGCTTTGTGTGTTTTAGTGAAAAACATAACATGTTTATCTGTACTATGGAATTAAAGTATATACTGCATATTTGTTGTGTGTTTTACTTATGTTTTAAAATATAGTATAGTGTAAAGCTAGCATATTTGTTTGAGTCATGGTAGTAAAGTAACAAATATTTGATAATGAAATATAATTTATTTTACCTTTTCTAATATTATACAACCTGACTACCAGCTATCAGTGCAAGTATATTGTTGAGATAAAACAAATTGTGAGACATAAATTTGTGTCATTGTGTGTTCAAATATGTTAATCTGCAGACTTCAAGAATAGGCGTTGTTTAACCCACAAAAACACCAACGCGTCTGTTTTCTGTTCATTTTGAGTAAAGTAGGTAATCATCGTACTATATACATGATGTTGGTTATCAAATTACCCTGGGCACTAACGATTTTTTTAACTGTGTGACGTCTTTTTTTTTTTTGACGTAAAGAGCTGGGCGTAGCTTTAATTTCTGGAGCTTTCTCCAAAATTTAGGAAACAAGTCAAGCCATATATATGTATATGTCATATTATAATGGAGATTGCGATGTATACGACCAAAATTCGAATCTCGGAAACTACCGCACCAATCATAACTGGGTAATATTTTTATATCTAGACAGTATTTTTATAGTTGAGCAGTAAATTAAACAATTGAAATTTTCACGAAAATGATATTTTTCAGATTTAACCATTAAAAATCACGAAAAAGGAGTAAGTTTCAAATATAAAACAAAAAAACAAACTTTAAAAATTATTTATTTTTCTTTAGTGAAAATCTCATGAGAGTTGCAGCAGAATAGCAAGGCACTTTCATTGATAACTGCATCAACAAAGAAATACTTCAATAAAATCTACTCTGTGATGATAGCTCATTTTTAAACTAAAATTTCAATAAAATTCCATTTTCTCGTGGATGGTGAACATATTGAATGTCAAGTATGAGTACATTGTTGTAAAACTGTCAGACATTTCCAGAAAAGGCCGCAGGCCCAATAGCCTTCCGCAGGAACTAGCAGTTACACCTGCCCAGAAGGCGGGTATTTCTGCCTACTCGGCCCTTCCCATATATAAGGCCCGTGTGGCGAACGGTTTGTTGTTAATTAAGCACAAAGCTACACAATGGGCTATCTGTGTTCTGCTCACCACGGGTATCCAAACCCGGATTCTAACGTTGTAAGTCCGCAGACATACCGCTGTGCTACTGGGGGCGGGCCGAACGGAATAGCAAAAGGAAATAAGAACTATAATCAGTTCTGTTTGTCTGATTACGATTCGAAACATATTTTCTATTTTCACTTCTCATCAAAACTCCATTTTTGTACTTTTCCCTTAAACCCATAGTTGCTTGTTGTTGTTTTGTGTGTGAAAGTACCTTTACTTAAATCTCCCAAATAGAGCCTCTTGCCTTATGAGGATTCCTAGCATATTTTGAAATACTATGAAAAATTTCTATGATGTAAGAAATGAAAAAGATTTCTGGAACAAGTGAATAGCGGGATTGATCCAAACGAAGTGTGATAATTATTACCAACTGAATGGAGAAATGGCTTACCTTTTGGTCAATATGGTAAAAAAAAATCATAATTCACATTGTATGTGCATTTATCTGGATTAATATAAAGAGTATGTTAATTCTAAGATAGCGTGGCTCAGCGATGGACTGGCATCCAGTTCATTCTTATCCGCTTGTGCCACTTGAAGCCGAAGTTCGAAAGCACCGGTCCTATGTGCCTTTCAAAGGCAAGGAGGAGACTTAACTAACTATATACATTCCAAGAGTAATATTCTCAAAATTGTTGTTTTTAGAATTACTATATATATTGTTAGGACAGCAGTAGTCACTTGACGCTGGTAACGCGTCATGGGTTTCTAGAAGGTTCCCAACAACTCTAAGTCTTTTCTACGTGTCCTCTATTTTAGTATATAAGCCGACAAATAAAGTGACGGCATAAATAATTGCAGACGGAGAATTGAGTCGAGCGCGGAAACGACCATAAGTGAGTGAATCGTTGTGAATTATAGCGTGTGTTGAAGTTAAACTGACTGTAGAAATTAAGTGTATTGCAAAGTTGTATTCAGAAAGAATAAACTAGTTTTCTTTAAGAAAGGACTTGTATTGCTAAAGATTCATCCGAAGAAATTAACAAACGAACAGAGACGTAACAAATTGGTGTCAGAGAGTGGGACAGAAAAGCAAAAAGAAGATGGAAACGAAAAGTGGCAACTCAAACGACAGCTTAGCAGATTTGATGGCACCAATACAAGAACAGCAAAAGAACGAGAAAAATAAACAAGAAGAGAGATTACAGCAGTGGTTGAAGGAGAAGGAAAAGAAACAAGAAGAGAGATTACAGCAGTTGTTGGAGGAAAAAGAAAAGAAACAAGAAGAGAGATTACAACAGTTGTTGGAGGAAAAAGAAAAGAAACAAGAAGAGAAATTACAGCAGTGGTTGGAGGAAAAAAGAAAAGAAACAATAAGAGAGATTACAGCAGTGGCAAGAAAACCTGCAACAGTGGCAGCTCTAACAGCAAAATAAACAAGAGAAATTACAACAGCTGTTGGAGGAAAAAGAAAAGAAACAAGAAGAGAGAGTACAGCAGTGGCAACTGAAACAAGAAAGGAAATAAAAAGTACAAATGGAAAAGCTTAGTAAATTTCAAAGTGAATTAAATACCTTAAAAGATGATTTACTGTCTTTTACACAAAGGGGATATATTAGCCATGGACCTAATCAGCATCAGACAATGGAAAGCCCCTTCCAGACCCCGCAGCTAAACCCTAATGCAGACATCTTCAGTCCTGTCAGAAGTCGCATTCCACACATGAGTGTCAGCAAAAGGGGTGGTCTAGTACGAAGAAAGCCACAGGAATTCGATGGGAAGCACAATTTGAGCTCCTGGCAGAAATGAATAGATAGACAGAGGAGCAGAAGGCAGTGTACCTAGCAACGAGCTTGAAGGGACAACCACTGAAAATACTTCAACAGTTGTCAGCAGACGACAGGCACAACTATAGAGCTTTGGTAGCTGCTCTAGAACTTGGGTATGGACCCAAAATCAGTCTGAAGTCTACAGAGCTAGGTTTCGGACGAGAGTCCGTGCTAAAGGGGAGAGCTTGCAAGAGCTAGCACAGGACTTGGAAAGTATGGCACACAAGGCCTACCCAACTGCACCAACTGATGTCATCAAGCTGTTGGACAGTCCAGAACTGAAGATACAAGTGAAGCAAGCACACCCGGCTACTATGCAGGATGCAATGGCCAGAACTCTTGAATTTGAATCCTATGTTAAGTCCAGCACGGAGGTACCAAGGTTGGTACAGTCATCAGGATTCAAGGGCAGCTTTCAGAGAGGTTTGAGGGACTTTGCTGGCACTGTAACAAACCTGGGCACAAGAAAGCTCAATGCTGGAAACTTCAAAACAGGGAAGATGCCACAGCAGGAAAGGCTGCTACCCAGAAAGGTTGTTGGAACTGTGGAGAACAAGGACATATGAGGAGCCAGTGTAAGAAGAATACTACCAATAGGTCAGCTGCGGGAAGCCAGTAGTGGTTGGTGCTGAGAGACACCCACCAACCCCATTGTGAAAGTCCCAACAGCTAAGTGTAAAATGGCAAGCACACATAGTGCCTATGTGACAGGAAAGCTGGATGGCCAAAGGTGCAACTTTGTCAAAGATTCATCATCTCAGCAAACCCTTGTGAGTATCAAGGTGCTGGGTCACAAAAAAGTACCAGAAGTTCTGTGGTATGACAGGACATAATGCAAGGTCGTGGGGACCAGTGTGGTAACTAATGAGCTCATGGGCATGAAGGACAGACACAAAGTATAATTGGCTACCATTGAAGACCAATGCATATTAGAGTTGGACTACTTACTACCGAGGAAGTGTGTAGTTAACTTCGATAAAATGATGATTGGGAACAACAAAGGCCAAATTCCAGTAAGTGTCACAGCACTTAAGTCAACTATAATACCCCCTATGTCAGAGAAGAT